GTGGCTGGAAGGTTGCCGGTTCAAATCCCATGGCTTGCAGAGGAATCCTACTCCGTTGGGCCCCTGAGCAAGGCCCTGAACCCACACTGCTCCAGGGGCGCCGTATAAATGGCAGACCCTGCCCTCTGACCCCAAGCTTCTCTCCCCATCTGTGTGTCTCACGGAGAGCAAGCTGGGGTCTGCGAAAAGACAAATTCCTAATGCAAGAAATTGTATATGGCCAATAAAGTGATCTTATCTTATTTGTTGGGTCAGAACCTTATGATGAAACCAGGGCGCAGAGGAAGCACAACATCTCCCCCCTTGTTAAGAACATGTTTTTTGGGGGTTTTCTCCAGTTGCCTCCTAATCTTCCACAGACATTCTGTGCTTGTGTGTGCACCTGTGCTGCTATAGACTGGTGTCCCATCCGGAATGTGGTCTTATACCCAGGTTACCTGGGTAGGTTAACTGATGCCTCTTACTTAACCCCGTTTGTACTTTACATGCTGTGTATGGTTGTGCTTTCTGATAGTGCCCTGCCTTGTGCCCTGATCGCTCAACCATTGCTGTGGCCCTTAGCAGGACTTATTGGCTTTCAGATAATGGATGGTTGTATGTTTCAGTAGTTAAAGGGCATTTTAAAATCAAGACCTTATTCTATAGGTATTGTTCTGGTTTCACTTACTGGTATAATAAAGGTCCTACCTTTTATGTTTTGACTAAAAGATAAAATTGTTGATTTCACAGTTTTTTTTACACAAGCATTATTGATCAAAACCTGTCTTACAACTCATCTGCATCCAGCCATTTCTTTAAAGGGCTCCTGCTTACTTTACTGTTTCTACCTCCACTCCTTTTTGTGGAGGAGTATTTCAAATACAGGTTTTACAGTTTTCTTTGCGGTAGGTGAATTTGATCATCCATTTTTGCACCAAAAACAGAGTCTCATTAGATTTTTTTTTGATTTAGCAATAGACCATACCTGTTTTGTCTGCAGCAGCATGGGTAAACCACAAGATGTCACTATCTATAAAGAAGAAGTTGTGCTGTATCCAGAATTTTTGTATGAGCCAAAAAGCAGTAGCATCTGATTACCCACTGATTTACTAAAAGGAAGCATAAGGAAGCCAGAAGGGAACTTACAGGTTCCACAACTGTTGTAAGTTGTAAGGCTACAGCATCACCTGCCTCATCACAATATTGCCCCAAAAGCAGCAGCAGAAGAGCATAAAGGAAAGGAAATTCATGTACTAATGTGCGTTCGTCAGGACCAGCATGGACAGGATTAAAATTGGACACGAGACTTTGTTGCACATCTGCAAGATAATGTAATGCAAGAAACTGTTCTTCTTTTTGCAGGTTAAAATTGTTTTTGTACTGAAAAGACAGTATTTCCTCATGTGCTACCTTTTCGTTCCCTGTCAATTATGCAAAGGCCTCATCAGAGCAAAGGCAACACGTTTTAACAATGAAGGTTGTTCAGCACAATATGCTCAGCTCCTATTTTCAGAAGGTACTTCTCAGACAATCCTAGCAAATCAGAACAGTAAATCATCAAACGATCCAATTAAGTTTCCTTTGCAGAGTGTTTTTGCTTGCTTGTGGATGAATCTATGTTATGACACATTTCTTAGTGCCTTATGCGTGCTTGGTCTTGGAAGAAATTTGCACACCTTTTTACACACATTTTGGAAATATCGATATGTGTTGGTCATTGAAGGCTTTGAGTGTTCCAGCTGATACACTCAATCCTTATTGCTTGGCGTTTCTGTTTTAGCTAATTTAATTCTAGAGATCTTCTAGTAGAAACTCAGAGTTGGGTGCCTGGGTTACTCTGTATTTAGAAACAAAAAATGAATACATTTTGTTTCACATAAAGAAGGCAGATCTGACATTTGTATCATAGGCAAACTGTTGTCCGTCCAAGACTCGAAATACACTCTGGATACTGGAGACGACGTTGATTGTTCACGGGAGGATATGAAAGATAAAGGTTTTATTTTATAAATGCAATTGAAGTGACTTAAGGAAGAAAAGGTTTTTGGAAAGTGGTTGAGGTTTATTTGAAGTTGAAACAGTGCTGGAAAATCCCTTGGATATTAGATAAAATCTCTTCCTGTTTGGAGAATATTCTGCTAATTTTAAGTCTTTTCTAACTTTGTGCCTCATTACACTTTGATTGGAATTTATCTTTTTGTTTTACTTTATTTCAGGTAGTCTTATTTTCTGTGAATTGTTCCTAATTGCACCTGAGTGTTTTTTAACGGTATTGGCAATCGTTTTGTTACTCGGTATCTCCCTGTTCACACTCCTCATTTGTTCTGATTTTTTTTATTTTCACAGTTTGCTATGGTTTCATTATAACTACCATGTGTCAGAAGGACAGGGGTTAGGGCAAATCTGTTCTTCTTAAAACCTGTGCTTGTTCTGGAAGAGACCAGATGCTCTGTGTGTTGTTTTGAATGACTCACTTTACTTCCCTTTTGATCCAGGCCAGTCCAGATGGGGATCTCTCAGGCTGTCTGTGCTGTTACAGGAAGCCAACACAATCAGCAAGGCTCTCAACAAGCAAACCATATTCACAAGGTATTTCAGCTCTTGCATCCCAGTGTGGCAACCACCTTTTATTTCATGTGCCTCGGCATCTAATATAGATGTGTTGCCTTTTTGAGGCACTGCTATTTGAAATGTTGAATCTAAAAAATATATATTTTTTAATTGAAATAGAATGCATGTGAACATTTGCAGCTTCTTCTATTACTCCTATTCAGTGCCTGTAAACGGGGACTCTGAAATGCCTGTTAAAGGCAAAACATTATCAATGTACTGTTTGCTTCTGTGTTTGTTGTGTTCATCGCCAGTTATTTGCAATAGTCTCTACTGGTTTGACCCATAGAAACAGAACTTTCTTGTTGGCTCAAGGACTAGGAGATGTATTTATAGGTAGCCCCAGTCTGCACTAAAGTCTCTCTTGTGTATCCTTGTCATCATACTTCTGCTCCACTTGTTGACTTGAATGACTGAAGTCTCTCACCATGACATCAGCAGTGCATATTCTCTTCTGCCAGGCCTGTCAAGGACAGAGCAGTATATATTGGTGGATAAAGCACTTCCATTCTGTATGCTGCCATCTCGGATGTTCTCTGGCAATTTCATCTCTTGACTATTAACACTGCCCCCGAATGGCCTCTGTAGAAGCATGTCATTTTCATGTACATTGTGAGCTGCACTCTCTCGGCTGATGTGCTGGTTATTTCTTCTTGAATTTTGTATTTGCCCTCCAGTCAGTTTAGTCTGAAAATGATTAAGTAGGTAAATGGATGTGACTGTCGTAGGATGGTCTGGTGAACCTTTGTTTCAAGATGAGGATTGCTCCTCACCCATGTTTTATAGTTTCTCTGTACTAGTCTGCTGCTTGTTAAAGCAGAACATATTTCTCCACAAATTTCTTTCACAGACAGGGATCCTTCAGTCATTCGACAAGGTGCAGGATATGAGTGTAGCTTTTCTTACACTAATTAAAATCATGTATTTTTGAAGGGCTGGGTCTATAGATTCTTAATCACCACTTTTTGGCAGTTTTAAAGTTTTTTTTTTTGTCAGGAAACATCGAAAGGTACAGTATGTTCATTTCTGTTTCAGCGGTTAATTGGAATGATTTGTATTACAAGCTAAAGCCTTGACTTGCCAATCAAGCTGCTCAAATGAATCTGAGGAATAATTAAGTAATCTAAACATCAACTATTGTTTAACTATAATAAGCGACAATTGGCCATATAATCGATGCTTTGCTAGACAAACCTTAATTAGACCATATTGAGTTCCGAAAGGCAGAGGTAAGAATCCTCAGCTTCATAAACTCTGTCTTTCAAACCACACACTTTAAAAATGATATTTGAAATATCTTCATAACGATCAGCCATGTGTGCTGTGTTTGTAGGTGTGAAACCGTGGCACATGGTGACGAAGTGCCGTCTGTGAACGTCCGTGTCACTAACTCAAGACTGGGGATTTCAACTGTGTGGAATCTGCAGAAGTTTGAAGCCAGACTGGTGTCTATGAGGGAGCTCTATCAGGTTCTTCAAACATAGTTTTTCCATCTACTCTTCATGCTATCTGTTAAACCATCTTTCGCTTATCTTGAATATCTTCATCTCAACTGAAATGCGTTCTTTGTTCTTAATGTATTGGAGAAAGTGAGAAACCTTTTTTCTTCAGTACTTCCAGTTGCTTACACTCGGTCTGATATGGCATCTTTACTATGTGAAATGGAGTATCTGGATTTTAAACATGACATTACTGTAGCATAGTTAGACGTTTTTAAAGGTTTGAAAACCTCTCAAACATTTCCTCTATTTTATCTGAAACAATAACTACTGGGTTATTGTCACAACTGCAGTTAATTAAACCATCACATGTATGTTTATTCAGTTACATGTATGTATTTGTGATCTAAACCTCCTGCACTGTACATTGATCTGCTGCTAAGAACATACAGTATGGCATTTAAAGTCAAAAGTCAAAACAAACCAATGTTTTCGTCAAACTTGTCCTCCTTTAAGCTTAACTTCACAACCAAAGTAAATACGATACTCCTGCAATCTCCATGAAATGATTGCTTTGTGTATTTCACAACATACAGCTAAGGGAAGACAACTCTTCACCTTTGAATGAATCATGTAGAATCCTGTATGTTTTGTGGATGAATGTAGGCACTCAACAGACTGACCTATTCACCATCCCACAAAAATATAAAAACCGTAATTTATGTTTACTGACCCCGACATTTATATTGTCAAATCCTGTGTCATTTCCTAGTTTTTGTCTGATAGAGGAAGGCTTTACTACAAGATGTGCTTGCACTAAGGTGGTGTGCCGTTATGCTGTAACCTATTCTGTGTGTATAGAGAAGGGAGCTGTCACTCAGTGGAATAGCATAAGCCCAGACAATAACCTCTACTGGCACTTCGCTCAGCTAGATCTAGACTGATAGGTAGGTGGTTCTAGCAAGGCAGACAACAGTGTATAACAATAGAATCTGGGCTGATTATTAACTAAGGAAGGGTTAAGCCTTTGTGTTTGGAACTCTGTGTTGGAACTCCAATTACTTATATGGGTAAACCAGCGTTTCCAGGAAACAGAGGGAAGAATTGGATACTTGAGAGGAAGAGGAAGGAATTCCTTTAACAACATTAAGAAACGGTAGTGGCAAACCTGAACCGGTCTAAACCGATCCAGTATCAGTTCCCGAGTTACTCCCGAAATATTTTCTTTCTTAAGGGAAATTATGAAGGAAGTGAAGATGCGCTTTTCTGCGATCCCTCCGATACCTGGGATACAGAGGTTCGAACACAGTCTCCAAAAAGGTACTTGGTACAAGACCGAAGAAATTCTTTTAAAATATCCTGTATTTACAAGTTCTAGATATACACATCAAAGGACTAAGAACTGAATCATCATGAATTCAAGCCAATTCATTTTCTTCAATACAGAATTCAAAAAGCACTTAAATTTCACTTACTGTTTAAATAAAATCATTTAGGCAAGATTGGGCACATTCTTATTAGTGCCATAAAGGGCTTAGAAGAAAAAATATTGTCACAACCTAAATGCCTCACTGGTCTTTGTCTTCACTGTTTATAGTGATGCATTTGAGTTGGTCCCTGTGGAGACAATATAGCTGTCACCACCGACAGACATGAAGCTAATTGATGGAAGAGAGACCAGGCTCTGTCTTTGAACTGTGGAGGTCATAAACTGAATCTGCAGAGGCTAGATTAGACTGGACAAATATGGCTTGAATTGGAGAGATCTCGGGAATGTTTGTTCGTAAGCCAGCATTCTCCGTTTTTAAAATACAGATTTATAGGCCTGCTTTTCTTTCCTTTTTTCCATTAGTTCTTTTTAACTGCCTGGAAAAAAAAACAGCTCTTGAACACAAACCTTTTCTGTCTTCCAAACCAGAGCGTGCAATGCTCTGGAGTTGCGGGAATTGTTTTTTATCCATTCTGTAGTGTTTTAAATCATCTGTAGAACAAAACTTGAAACTTTAGCCTTTAATTTGAATTCTTAAGTTCCTTTCAGTATAACATTGAATTTTAGGAAAGTCTTGGAGCTCTTTTCAGATGTTAGTCTTGGGAAACAGGACAAATTCAATGTGTGTAATATTATGAATATTAAAATTAATTTAATCTGTAATTCATCATATTCCATTTATTTAAACATTATTTTTTGCCCATTTTAATAAAGTACCATATTCTTTTTAAAATCGTTTTAAAACACCTTAAATATAATGCTGGAGTGGAAATAATATATTCCTAAACATTTTATTTTTTTTAGGTACTGTAGGTCATGCAATACTGCTAATGCCTTTAGAAGAACTAACACTGTTTTCTCTTCTGTTTCTAAGCAGGCGGAGGAGTTCTTTAGGAAAGCAGCTATCTGAAGAGCTAATGGCAAAAGGTATTTGTATCTAAGGTTGTTAACTCTGCCATGGCCATTCTGTGCTGGGCTGGGGACGCAGACTATAAATACAGTATAAAGTCATTAGTGTTAGTAGTCATTTGTACTAAATCTGTGATTTAAAGTAATCTATACAGTGCTTCCTGAGCCCAGTCCTTCTATGATATATTTATATTTACTTTTATCCAGAGTAAATTTCATTTGGACCCATTAATACAGCTGGCTATTATACTTGAACAATTTCGGTGAAGTGTCTTGCTCAAGGCACAGCAGTGCATCAGTACTCTTAGTTTAGGTGATATTTTAAAACCGTATTCTTAATAGGTTATGGGATTTTGGTGCCAATAGGCAGATTCTGTCTGTTTTTCAGTTCAGTGGTTCAAGGTGCAATGCAGTATGGAATAACGAGCTGGTATACCAGTCTTGCTCTGCAACTAAAAGTCAAGACGTCCAGGATCTTGAGGATGTGTTCTAAGTTAGTGGGGTGGCTACTTGAGCAGAGCTTTCTAATGTCTTACATTAAGAGTACGTGGAGACTAGCTACTAGTATCTCCTCTGATCCCTTGCATGTTCTACATGAAGAGCAGCAGATGATGCCTTCAAACAGATGTTTTAAAGATCCTCAATGCAGGCATAACAAAATGAGGAATTCATTTATTCCACATTCAATCAAAGTCCTCCACAAACAGGTTCTCCTTAAAGGAGTGTTGGGTCATGTGAAAAAGTACAGGGGTATTGTGCAGTTATTTACTGTAGGTGCTTAGGGAGATGGTGGGGGAACTCTGGTATCATACATAATGATTAAGTATGAGCAGATGTCTTTTATGCAATATTAAAGTTATTTTTAACATAATATTCAGTTGTACTATGTGGGTTTTTGGCTGTGGGTTGCACGTCACTCTCTGTGTAACATAGCTGCTTGGATGCAAAACCGATTTCTGAGAAATCGGACAAAATGTTATATCGAAATAGGTTTGAGTTGTGTGAATGCTCATCCCTGAAATATAGACATCTATGGATGCACTCCATCTTCATCCTGTCTTTATAACCTGCTTTTGTTAATCCTAGGTTACTACAGCGCAGAAGCAAAAAACATGCAAGGAAGTCAGAAGTTCTTAGAGCAACATACAAAGCTGTAAATTTAACATAATTCCAAGACATATTTAATTATTAATCTAGGGTGGCCAGTAGGGGTAAATCTCTTTCGATGATTAGTTATTTTTAATATAAATAATAATGTACAGAAAATGTCTTGAAGATGTGTTTCATTTTTTGGTATGTGACTGTATTATCCAATACATTTATGTCCCTAATGTAATTTTGTCAAATGGTAAAAGCAGACAAAACCCTTTTCTAAAAAGCAAAATGCTGCAGCTGTATCGGTCCTGACCCTCAACTTTGCAACAATATTTCACCACAAAGTCTAAACTGTTACATTTAAAGCCGTGCTATACATTTTTTTGCATGAAATAATCTTGACATGGATAAACATTGGCATATTACTGTGTAAAAAATCAATCAATCCCTTAGTCTTTCAGGACGGGCCTGTGGTATTTGCTGGATCTGTGACGGCGTGCAAGCAGCTGATCAGCTGCGCTATGGAGAGTCTGCAGAAGGACTGGGAGGTCAGCACCTTGGCTGACAAGGTCCTGTCGGACCTGCAGGCTATACTGGAATCCATCGAGGTCATTGCGAAATCATGCGACCACGTTCATAATAAATTGTCTGGAACAGGTAAGTGTCAAACGGTGAAGATGTTTGGCTTTTTCTTCATGGAAACGTAGGGCTTTCACTGATACTTCTGCTTTTGCTGATACTCCAATATAACCAGTTTGCTTAACCGGAAAGATTTTGTGTTTAAGAACTGGTTGAGGTTTCTGCATTTTTGTGAAACTGTCTTTATTCAAAATCAGGGACCCAGACCCTGTACCTGGGACCCTAGTTACTTTTTTTTGGGGGGGGGTCAGGATAACTCTGATCAGTCAATCTAATAATTGACTTAAGCTTTTCATACAATTTTAGATGTCAAAACATAATTCTACGATGTTTTCTGTGTCACTGGAAATCGTCTAGATCAATCGACCTGAAAAAATCAATTTAGATCATTGGAACTTAGCTACAATAAGACAGAGAGAACAGGAGATAGTGAGGGTATCAATGCACATAATGAAAGGTAGGCCCCTTTTCCTCTTTCCTCTTTCTTTTACCATTGTTTTAAAAATCCAGATCTCCAGAAACATTGCTTCACGGCAGCCACCAGCACGAGCAGCCTGGTGACGACCCTCCAAGTGGGGGGGGCTTGTATCCCAGAATTCACGGCACAAAACGCAGTCTTGGACGAAGTCACTGTGCAAATCAGATCGCTTGGAGAGAACCTCATGCTCTTTCTCCACGTAGGTTGCCGCTGTCTTTGTCTTTTCTAATGCGGGCAGAAAGAATGTTTGATGTTCGGATTCCTTTCACAGAGCCCTTCAGTCGCTATGGTAACACAGCAAGCTGTAAAGGTTTCAATAATAGAGAAAATGTCACTTAACTCGCCAAGCTTCATAAATTTCTTCAGTGTTTTTTTTTTTTACGACGGGAAAACTGTTAATTGAATTTTTTTTTTCTTGTGATTTTGAACCCAAACAGGTGTTGAGAGCACTGAGAATCGCTTAAATTGAATGAGGTGCTAAAGCCATAATTTTCTAAGAACTCCTGAACAGATTAAACCTCTAATGTATGTGCTCCAGTCCTAAAACGACAAATGATTTTTATCAAAGATTGAACACGCGTACATGTATTTGTCTCTTATTTGTTTGTGCTCTTTCTTGGATTTTTTTTTTCTTTCTGGGGGAAAAAAAAGGAAATAAAACATTAGTAATAATCTTAATGAACCTGGGTTCCCTAAGAGATGGGGTATACACTGGGGTATCCTTGTCCTACAACAGCAACCCCTGTGACTTCCCAAGCATTTGTCCATTCAATGTCGTTTTGTAACCAGCAAACACTGCTCCATGGGGACTCTGAAGCTTGCGTTGTGTTAAAGGAAGGATGGCTCTCAAATGTAAGAGAGTACTGTGTTCCAGAGAGTACTGTATGTACTGTACTTCTCACACCTTAGAGGCAAGCTGTTAGTTCAGTTGATTAGTAATTGTTTGCAAAAAGTGACCATAATACTTCCAGTATTTGAAATTGTAAATTAATCTAGATAAGCAAATTTCATTTTTGAAATCAGTGTTAGATATAATTAGAATGGATAAGATAAATATACATTTGTTCTTTGCAGGATTTGCATATATACATTCTAAACTATTTGAAATGCCTACATAAATTCCTGTAACATCCTTGATCAAAGATTTTGACCTTACTGATTTTAATATTTGACCACAACCATCCTGTGTTCTAGAATTCAATAAAACCGTGAACATTTAAAATGTTCACCCTGAAGAGTATGCAAACAAATCAGTTTGACTGAATGATTAATGTCAATACCCTGTTTCAAAGACTTGAAACCTTCTAGTCAGTGGTAGAGTAGCCCCAAGTATTTATGGTGCTACTGTATATATGGTTTTCATTTAACTGATCAGAGTAAATTTCTCAGCAGCAATCATCTCATCGCAGTGAGACGATGAGATGTAATTGATAGAGTATGTCTTTCCTTCCTATGAGCACTTGTGCTTGTGGGTGGAATACAGAACGTCTGACCATTACATTGTAAGTTATTACTGTACTGTTTTACAGTTTTCAACCCTTCTCTGTAAACAGGGCAGACTATATATTCTATTACCCCTTGTTGGGCAGACCAATTGTAGTATGATAGGTAGATAGTATATTTAAAAGGCAGGTGGGAACAAAAAGGCTTTTCGTCTATCACAAAGCGTAACATGGCAAAGATATGCCACTCGGATTTTCTTTTTCCCCGAAATATAATTCAGTATTAAATAATACTTTATCCCTTTTGGAAGCACACACTAAGACCAAATGAAATGGCTGTTGCAAACAGGGGTAGCCTGAAATGTTAAAGAAAATGAAAGAAGCTGAATGGTAAAGTGCACTATATCCTCTTATAAAATGTATTTTTTTGTGTCTTAAATATATCATGCTAAAACACGCTTTAAAAGTTTTCAGGTAGTGGGCAATTCTGCAAACATGTGGCAGAGGTCTGTGGCTGTAGCTGCAGTGTGTAAGTTTACAAGCTGAAAAACCTTTTACAGAAAATTCCTGCGTGACTCATAAAAGGTCATGAATGGAAAATGCTTACAAATGATGCCAAGAAACCGAGGCTCCATTTTCTGTTTGTTTGCCCAGGGCTGGGAGAGCGACATCAGGTCCGTGGTGGCCGAAACGAAAGACAAAATTGTCCAGTCATCTCTCTCGATCTCCAAACAGCTGGGCAAGCTCGCGGTTCCCACGAGCCCTGGGGTCGGTTTTCCACAAGCAGCAAAATGCGGTCCTCAGCAAGCTGAGGTAATTGAACAGAGGCCCCGCAGAGAATAGAGGGGCAGCAGTAAAATATTTTGCTTTATACGAGTGCGGTTTTGGTTTCTCGGGGCTCTGAGCAGCACCATCAGTTCAGGCGCTGACAGTTTTTGAACCATGGACTAGACATGGTCTCGAAAACAGACCACTTTTACCTTGGGTTGTAGAATTTTGCCCTTCAGCTTGGCTTACTTTAGTAGTTAATTGAGTCTTAGTCCTTCCTGAATATATCTGCACACTGCACTCCATGTTCTCCATTCCGTATATTGAACACCATCGTCTCCAATTCTTTCCATTTTATTCCAGCCTTTTCCAGATTATTTTTTATTTGTCCTCTTCTACTGTATGTTACGCTGGGTCTTCTAATTCGCTCTCTTCTTGTATTTTGTGGCTTCTATTTGAAGGTTGCTCTCAATAAACCGCCTTTGTCCATTTGCACTTCATATTAATTGTGAAAGTGTTTTTGTGCACTGATTTTTTTTTTTGTCGTTCTTACACGTCCTATTTTATAGTTTCCTAATATCCTTCAAAGGCATTCATGGAAAAATAGCAGAAGATTATCATGTAACAATAGACCAGAGGTCCAGAACAACAACTTGTGTCAGGGCATCAGTAAATATTGCTAGTGCCATTATTTATTAATAACTTCACTGTAAATTGGTATTCAATTTTTATGGAAGATCATTACTTTAAGTTCACCTTAAGAGTTTGTGGATTATCTTTCTGGTGACTTTTGTTATTTTGTTATATCCTGCGTCACAGAAGCTAGAAGTAAATAGTGGAATGATTCTATTGTGTGTCTGTACTATAAAGGGCAACCAGGATATGTGGTTTTTAAGTGGGTTCTAATTTAATTCATTCATGTGTGAACTGAATTTTTAAGTTTTAATATTCTTTTCTTAGGCCTGGTGTGAAAGCACATTCCCTGTAACTTTTCCTACTTAGCTTTTTTCAAAAAATGCCCCAGTATGTGTAACACAATTTTAAAATATTTTTTTCTACCCCAGCTCTTGGGTAATACTCTCAAGGAGGCATTCATGCAAGGGGCAGACAGTAGCATTGAAGCTCAAGTAGATGCTGCTATTTCTGAGCTAAAAGACTTACAGTCACGCATTCAGAAGCTCCCTTCAAATAAGGTAAGAATTTATTTCTTACAGTTTATTCTGTGTGGCTGGGGCTTGTGTGGGGCTTGTGGGCATTTCACCAAAAGTCTATAACTAGATACAAAAAGCATTTTTAGATCTCTATCCTTATGTACTTGTGCAAAAAGTGTTGTCTCTCCCAGAGAAACATTTCACAAAGTAGATAGAACTAGGGTTATCAAAACAATAATTTTGTTAATAAATTTGTTTTTTGTCTCATGGGATGTTTTGACCATAGTCTTACCTTTCTTTAAAATCTAAAAATGTATAGAATAAATAAAAAAATAATTGAACTCTTGCTGTGGATGGAATACTGTTTTAAAAAGTAAATTAGTGGGCTTTGGTAGAAGTACATGATACCTTTCAATGGCTGTATTTTAGAGTAAGTTTCTTTGAGTAAAGAAAAGGTGTCCTACTTGTCGTTGTTCACAAAACAAACCATGCAATTCAAGAGCCTGTGACTTGGCACAAATCAAAACAGTTAGGTAGACCTTGAAAGATTTGCAAAGGAAATCCTTCAAGAAATTCACATTAGTGACACACACAATAGTCAACAAATTTCTGGGTCACAGGGATTGTTCCAATTATGACAGCGTTTTCCGAAGATGAGTACTGGTTGTAGTAAGTAGTTGCAGTGGTGTTAATTGACTTTGTACATAACATTTTATCTAGATATATACGATAACTGCCTGCCAGTATTTCAATTTCAACAGTTTTGATCAGAAGTTAATTTAGGTTAAGCCAGGCTGAAGCAGGTTTGGATACTGCTTTTTTTCCAGGTTTTAAAATCAATCAGTACTGAAATAAGTCCATTAAGTGTTTGCACACCTGGTAACTGAAAACCTTCTATTACGTCATTGTACAGTTGTACTGTTTTCTGACTTGTTTTTGTGTGTACTTGCACACCAGGTTTCTGAAAAAGCCAAGAGCATACTACTTTCTTACTTCAACTCTCTCGGGCTCATCGTGGACAGAACTAAAGTACTGTGGGTAAGAACTGCTCTGTAAATGTTGCCATTCTTCATTTAATACTGACCAGGAAAAAGAAGTAGGCTTTAAGTCCTATTTTTCTCTTCCCCAGGATGAAATTCAGTGCCTTAAAAACAAAACGTCTGAGAGTATTCTGGTAAATATGGCTTTATATAAAAGTTTGAGTCTGGAGCTGAATGGGCTTACCGCAACTGGGAAAAATGTCTTCGGCATGACAGTGGGATGTTCAAAAGGTATTTTTTTCATGTTGTACCTGTCTGCAAAATCGTTTAATTTAAGTTGCCTGTAAAACTGTACTAGGGAAAGTGATGAAGTCAATACCGACTACGTAAACTTTTGTGGTATCTTCCCAGTGTCTATTTGGTAAAATACTGATTTCATTTTGTCTCTACTGTACATCATTGCTGTTTTACTAGTGTTTACTGGTAAAAATAAATACCACAGTTGAACAAAAAAGCATACAGTGCAATAGAGTTCAAATCCAACAATTTTATTGTACATAGTTTGTAACTAACTTCTACAGCAGTTGGAGTTGAGATATGTTACTTTAAGCCCATTTATAAATCAAACATTTCTTGACTGCATGTCCGGCCCGGCTTCACAAAGCTGCAAAGTTGCGTCTCAGTCTTGTCACCTCTCTCCCAAAGACAGCTGACGTTGAAAACTTCCAAAGCATTGTGCTGAGGGTTAGGATAACCAGGCCAAAGGGCAGAATAAAAAGAGCATAAATTCAGTGAAAACTGTGAGGGGGTTTTCTCTAATACTCATTGAGGATTTGTTTGCTCTTTAAATGTTTTGTGGCTTTTATATGGCTCATTGTTTTGATGTGGAGCGAAGGCAGTTTGAGTGTGTAATTTAAAGAGCAATGTGCAGAAACAATAGAGCTGCTTGCAGTCTTCTCAATCTTCTGTGAGGTAAGGGGTTTCAGTTCTGCTGTGTTGCACATTTTTTTCAAGCTGCTGTTGTGTCTGTGGAGCTCTGACGCAAGCCGGAAAAAGGAACTTAAGTTTCAAAGGAGACTTTAACATAGAGCAGAAGTGGAAGGCCCCGTTTTTGGTATTTCACAGTTTCAAAGTGTGTAAAACCTACAGTATAGAAATGTATACATGTTCCACAATCCGTTGAGCTATTTTACTACTTACTGTTTTGGCCTTGTGGACTTTCCATTTAGGTCATCAAAAAGCCCCAGTGATCTTTTCACACTTCCTAATAGAATGATCATACTTTTTTTCTGCCTTCAGCAATTTTTTGTAAAAGCTGCATACAAAAGGAGGTCTTGCGTGTTACGCGCAGTAGCTGATTGAAGCTGAAACTTCATCCAGTCATTTCTTACAAGGACCCGGATTGTTTTGGTCTCAACAACCTACAGCACAGTACCTTGGAAGCCTGTTTCGGATGTCCAAAACCCCTTGCACAAAGAAGTCTTTCCTGTCAACCTTCCTGAATGAATTCTCTTAGATTCCATCTGTGATGCTGCGTCCTTGTCCCAGAGAGTTAACCCTATCTGTACCCCTTAGGATCTTGTATCCATAAATCAAATCTCCACTCCATCTCCTTTGTTCTAGGCCAGAGATTTACCTCCCTTAACCCTCTGACACCATCTGAATCATTCTTTCTCTTCTCAAGGAGCTCTTCGTTCAACTCATTCTATGATTATAACAAACTGTGTCAGAGTGGCCAAAACTGGGCACAGTATTCTAAGTGGGTTCTTACTAGGCATTGTAAAGTTTAAAATTATCTTCCCTGGGTTTAAGTTCTACACTATTTGCTATGTTCTCAAGCATTTTTTTTTATTGCTTCTCTACATTATCTTGATCCCTTTCATGTACAATATAGTTCCTAACAGCTGCGAAACACCTAATGTGACCTGTGTAGTATACTGTATATTGCTGCTACCACTGTGAATCACTTTGGTAACACATGGGTGTTAAACGTAATTTTCCTTGTTTGCCCAATCCATGACTTTTTCCTCGTTTCCTTGCCACTGTTCCTGCGTTTGCCCTTCCCCCTACGTTATACAAACTGTACATTTATCTAGCTCAGAAATTAGAATCTAAATTGTTGATGAAGGCATTTTAGGAGGAAGCTTATCGAAAGCCTTCCGGAAGTCTAAACGTTTATTGCCCTATGTTTTTAAAGTTTTACTGTCCTTGTGGGAAAAACCTCCTGTGGAAAGCCTTACAGGCACGTCCCGAAGAAATGAGAACAGGAAGTTTAAAGAGACTTTGTCTCAGATGTACATATTGAACCATTTAAATACACGTGCCCTTATTATCACTGGGTCTGCTTTAATGAAACGGCTTTAACACAGGAGAAGACGGAGGGCCCCAGACGTGGGAAGAGATAGCCTTGGCTCCCCTCTCGGCTCAGACCCTTCTCGGCACCCTCCAGTCTGTGTGGGCCGCGGTCGGTGACGAATCGGGGGACCCCGTGGTGGCCACCCGCTGGGCTACCCAGAACAAAGAGGCAGCTGGAGCTGCCAGAGAGCTCCATTCTTCCACTGGGGAGTTATTGAAGCTGCTGGAAAGGCAGAAGGGGGAGGCCGACTGCGCTGACGGAGGAGAGCGGTCACAGAGGTACAAAGGGCAGCTACCCACAACCCCCGGAGCGGAGCCTGGCACCCCGCCATGGGGGAGGAGTGGGAGGTCGGTCCGCGAAGTCATCGCCAGGCTGAATTGTCAGTCGCTGACTGCGGAGAGCCGGAGGGCGCTGACCTGAAGCGCGTTAAGTCGTTCCAGGTCTTGTCGGTTTTTTGTGCCACCTGAAAGCACTTAAGTTACAAGCGGGCTAGAATCTGTACACCGAATTAAAATTTGTCCTTAGGCTTTTTCACTGTTTGTACTAAATGCACCGAAACGAGGTCTGTTGGAACAAATGAATTAACAGTGGTGCTGGGTAAAATACGTATTTAGTTGTTTTTTTTTCAAATCGTGTTCTTCAAATTCAAATGGGAGTGTGCGAAAAGCAATGATATGTTTTAGATGGACGTAGAAACGCATTTCTGTATCTGTAGAGGAGACTCATTTATCTTTTTAAGCAACTTTTATAATAGAAAATAAAGGTTTTCAAACTGACTTGCATGTGGAGAGATTAATTGACGGTCTTAGTTCGCGATCAAAATTACTCTCAAGCCAAAAAATATTCTTCTGTTCATTTTGAAATGATGCAATCCAGGTCATGGAGCAAAGAAGGAAGCAGTCTGGTACCTGTCAGATTGTATTTCTGGATATTAACAACAGCTGGCCAACCACTCCTTCAACATTGCTTGGTTACTTGTTGCTTATTGATCCAAGAACTTCATCAGGATTAACCCTCTTCCTTAATATGGGCGGAGCGGTGGCTCTGTGGCTCAGGATCTGCGCCTGTGGCTGGGAGGTTGCCGGTTCAAATCCCGCGGCCGGCAGAGGAATCCTACTCTGTTGGGCCCTTGAGCAAGGCCCTTAACCCCAACCGCTCCAGGGGTGCTATATAAATGGCTGACCCTGCGCTCTGACCCCCAGCTTCTCTCCCTGTCTGTGTGTCTCATGGAGAGCAAGCTGGGGTCTGCCAAAAGACAAATTCCTAATGCAAGAAATTGTATATGGACAATAAAGTGATCTTCTCTTATTTGTTGGGTCAGAACCTTTATGATGAAACCAAGGCGCAGAGGAAGCACAACACCCCCCCCCCCCCTTGTTAAGACCATGTTTTTTTGGTTCTGATGTCTGATACAGATAACATTATAAGGGTTACAAATGAGAGGAAGCCATCAGCCCATCTAGCCCGATGGGTAGTCAGGAGTTAATTGATTCAAGGGTCTCATCTATCAGCTCCAGCACTTGTGTATAGAACAAGCTACAGGCTTCCATGGCCCTAAAGCCTTCTGGATAAAGACGTGCCTCCTGTTCTTGGTTATAAAAGCACCTCCACTTGCATAACACATTTGATATAAATGTCATTTGCACTTCTTAAATAGCAGCCCGGTCTTAAATATAGATTTTTATTTGAATTCAAATAAAACTGGGATTTGTGATTATTAGTTTCCCTACCTTTCATTCTTCACTTCTATAGAAAGGTAGGCTGGATAATGAGAATAGTTACAGGATCTTGGGGCCTCTTACCAGGTGAGGGGCGTTCTGATCAAGGGTGGACTGCTTCTTTTCTCTTCTCCAGCCTGAAAGCGTCTAACAACATCTGCAGGGAGTTTTGGCTGTTATTGGGATGATCACTCCAGCAATTGCAGGAACCCCAATACTGTCTGATTCACTTCAGAGTGCTCTGAGCCGGTGGATGGGGCTGAAAATTCAGACTCGTCAGAAATAAGCCGATCAAGGGAACAACAGTCATCCAGCGATTTTACCAGGCTTAAAGAAATCAATGTTGGAACTAAGAAACAGATGGGAATTGGGTAATAAGTTAAAAAATATATCAAAATGAATTACGATCACAATTAGTAAGTGTGTATCCATTTGGATGAGTAATCATACTTTTCCCTTCATGGGAACAGTCAAGACCTGTGCTTCATATGCAATAAGATACTGTGCAGAGGAAGGTGTGAGCTGCACTAAGGCAGGTGATGGAAACAGGTTATGCAAGTGATCATTTTCATGCAGTCATTGTGTATATTCTCCAGAGTGCCACAACAAGGTTTTATCTTGCAGGTTAACTGGGTTTTATATTGTTTTCACATTAGTGATGTAATGCACGTTTTGTACCCTGAAAGCAAAAAAAAATGGATAAACCAACACCAGTTGAGCTTTTTACCTTTATTTTGTAACCTGCATTTTTTTTTACACGACAGTTTCATTCTTGGGACGAAGAATGGAATAGCCTTGTAAGAAAAGCCATCTCAATAAAGGTCACTATAATCAAAACTAGTCTCTTGTCTGAGGCAGAGTATCAACTGTGTCCAGTTTCACAAATAAACATCACTGGGGGGAAAAAAGGGGTGACGTATTTGCATACAGTATAAAAAAGTTAAATTGATTTAAAAATACAAAATGCGTTAGTCTTAAGATCTGCAATCACCACCAATTGTGCGAAGAGAATTGAAAGCATGTAAATGTGCATGTAAGAGTTTAGTTTCTAGAATGGCACTCAATTGAGCAATAAACTTCACTCTAATTGTTTATTACTGGTTGTAACTACGGTGACTTGTCTGAATAATGCAGCTTCCTCTTTCCCTTTCTCTGTGAGTCACTGTGAAGTCACTGAGGCAAGTCAAGTTGCACTCGCTGCTCCTGGCAGCCTGGTGCAAGTGGTGATGATTGATTTCCTCGCCACCATTATTAAACAGCTCACCACTACAGCATTCTTACCTGCCTAGGAGGAATGAGGACTGGTTTCATATTCAATCAAACTGCACACAGAAAAAAGTTTTAAAAGTGTGTTCTAAAGAGTTAGAGGATAACTTAGACAAAAGAAAAGTGGCCAGCAAAGTACATAATATGGTCATATTTCTAGAGATGCAGTAAGAATTATGACATGTTTTTGTTTGTTTATAATGATCCTGATGCACAAAGTGCAACCGGTACAACTCCAACACTTTTGCAGTATGTTCCCATCATAATATTGCAAGTCACATCTGAAGCCCTGTTTCTCTGGAGCACTGTTTTGCGCATCTGTTGTCAGTCTTCATAAAAGCATTTTGTCTTACTGAAATATTAGAGAATGCTGTATCCCTCAAGAAGATCTGTGTTCCATCAAGTAGCATAAAAGGTCATTATGCTGTGCTGCAAGAAAGCATGACTTTTAATCAATGTGCATCACTGAGGGCAACAGCTGATATCACTAATGTGACAATTTCCATTTTAATTATCCCCAGTGATTTATAAGTTGAGAACTTGAGGAGTGAAGCTGCATCACCCGCTGTTGTCCAAATACATCAATATCTCCGTGGACATCGGCGGCCGCTGACTCGTCGCTGTAATATGTAGCTGCTGTAACTGCATCTGAAAATGGACAGAGCCGTACTATTTATTATAGTGTGGTAGCTTTTACTTCTCTTTGTTGTTGTTGTTTTCTGGTTTGTGTTTTTGATACTATTTTCCACCACTGAAGACCACTCATGCAGGGAGACAAAATATTTTTTATACCGTTATTATAGAGTTATTGAGATGAACTATTTCGGGTTTTTGTTCCCACTGTCTGTTGGTACTATTGGTCTTTCTACCGTTACTTCTGTTGTATAGAATGGAGGTTATCATTTCGGAAAATATCTTTTTGAGTAAAGAAAACGAGTGGCAAAGCCGTGTGTTGCATTTGTGATGTTGTAATAAAGATCTTTCTCTCTTTTGTTTTACTCTGTAGCCAGACTTCTACAACATACAGTAACTCAAAAGAACAAAACACAGCTCAATTTTACACGGTTTTTCAATTGTCTTCTTATTCCCCGGGAAAGGGGGTGTCTTTATGTTGGAATCCAGACAATCGCTGAAGTCCTGGACGAAACGGGACTGGGCAGTAAACATAGGAAACTCGAATCTGGCCGAGAAAAATCAGTGTGCGGTACTTGTGAACAAATTAATTATTTGTATCTAGGCTACAATTCAAATTGTGCCTCAACCAAGCATCGGGGTATTGTTTACATAGTAATCCCCAAACTCCAAATTTTGTTGTTGGGTTTGAGTGCATATCACTGTCAACGGTCAATTTGACTAAGCCTGAAGTCGATAGGCTCCTCCCCTATAACCTCCAGTCCCTTTTCTTTAAAATACATTTGCTCTTCCATTTTTTCCCCCACAATATCATTGTGGATTTGGGACTGGGGCTTCTCCAAAAGTGGACCCTCCAGCCTGGGCCTTTCTCGTTCAGTTGTAGGGGTGACAGCTGCGTGGCCCTAACCTTGGTGGCTGTCCCTTGCACCCCCTCAGTCCAAACTGTTTCTTGTGCGGTAGGCAAATCAAGGTTGGTTATTGAAACGGAGGCGCACTGGACTTGGAAGACGTCTCCCCAGTTCCTGAGTGCTGGTGACATGCGTTCAGAATTCCTTCCCTCTTTTACAGCTTCGCCAAAACCTCTTCTCTGAATTTCTAAAACCATTTCAGTCACAACCCTCGCTTCCTTCCCTCTTGTTTTCTATTAGACACTGGATACATTATATACAACAATATATCCTCATTACTACCGTTTTATATATTATGTTCCTTTGTTTTATTCCGAATCAATTCATTCGCCACTTGAAGTTCAGTTTATTTGCAAGTGCACAAAAAACGTTGCACAAAAGACGAGGAGGAAGTTAGTTTGTACTAGTACCAGCATCATACAGCATAAAACTTATTCTTACATTTCTTGCTTGTTACTAAGCTAAAACCCCAAGGTGGCACCTTGACTTGATTTATTTTGTGGTAAAAATGTCCCACTTACTTCATTATAACAATAACTTACAGACATGATTCGTAAGTACGTAATATCTTACACACCCGGTCAGTTCCGCTTACTATACAGGTATGTGTAAAAACAAGGCTAACATATTTAACACCCTCTTATTATTTTTGCTAATGTAAACAGTAGGACACTTTCCATTTCTTCAGATGAATATAAAATCTGGCGTGTTGCGTAGATGGTTCTGGACACACACCTCTCTTTGTGCAAAGACGTGCGTATTCTCTTAATGTCCACACTGCTCCAATGAGGTTTGTTCACTAGTAGTCCTGAAGGAGTGTTGTTTTCAGGGTATTTGTTATCAAGTCCCCACCTCCTTGTTCAAGGCTGAGCTAAGATTACAGATTAATTGGGTCAGTCTTCTTTGAATTGATTTCCATACAGCAACTTTCTCGTTGTGACCAAAGGTCTACAGAATATTGTAAACCAGATATTATAGACGCATGATATAATTAAAGCATTATTTTCACATCAGTTCTATTGACGTTTTCACTTTATCCCACTATACATCCTCACATTTACCAGATGAGAATATTGATGAATGTTGATCAATTAAAATCGGAGTACATTTCAAACTGTTGTACTGGCAAATCATTTCAAATTGAATTTGCAATAGAATTTGTCTGCTAAGTTAGCCTCTCATCTTTGTCTGAATTGAATTTCTATCAAATGAAATTATTGAATTATTTGACTTTATAGCATGATCCCCAGAATTATTAATCAGGCACAAATATATCAGTAAAATGAAGAATACCCAAAAACTTAAACTCTTAAAAGGAGTTGTTTTTAAGGAAGTGCTAACAGTCTGAGACAGGCTCTTCGTGAACTTTGTGTGTAAAAGCAAGACACCACTTGCGCAAAAGGCTCCTTTAAAAATGTCTCAATTTGCATGACAATGGGTGGACTGAATCGAGCAAAAAGTCAGATTTCACCTCCTCCTATACAACACAGGTCTTTAACATGCAGAGCTCTATTTCTTTGGCTTCTCTAGTTATGTCTGGAGGGATGAGCAAAAATTGGTTTTAAGTTCCCAAAATGCAAAGGAAATATATTTAAAAAAGGTAAGACTATTATATTAATTCCTTTATGAATTGGAAAATATGAAGGAAAATGTCTCTTAGAAATAGGTTTTAGCTCTTTTTTGTCTAAGTAATCTAAGAAGGTGGGACTTTTTTTTTTCTCATGTTATTGAATGCTCTGGAAAAACAGTTAAATGTTAACTGTGGGTACTTGATTATATAATTGTGTAACCTACAGAAGGTCATTAGCTGAAAAATTGCACTCTGCTACTCTTAAGACTTTAAGACCAAATGAATCTGTGAAATCTTTAAGATACACATTGTGTGGTTTACTCACAGAGTTTAGTATTTGGAATTTGAATATTTAATTTTGACTTTCCTCTCAGCACTTGACACAATGTTAATTGTGGCACAGCACAAAAAATAACATGAAATCCAGAGATGTTTTTTATTCCATTGACTGTCAAAGGTTTTTATTATTTAAATGGCTAGGGTATTAAATGGGGAAAAAAAAAAGTGAGGTGAAAACTAATTTGTGGAATTTTGAAACTACTGTATTGTTCAGAATTTTCTTCTGGTAAACTTACTAAAAAATAGGAATCTAATTAAAAATTACTCAAATTTCTTATTAGGAAAAACGAGTTTAAGATGTAAATAAAATCTATGATTTTTTGTTTACCGAATGCTTATTTGGGTGTTTATCTTTTCATTTAGCCACTATAATTTTCACCAATAGTACACAATCGGATAAACCCCTCACATTTTATGGATCTGTGTTTTTAATTGCTTCCTAGCATACAAAATGTATCATTGCAAGGATAGTGCTCATGTTTTAAAAAAAACAAATATATGTGCTATAAATTTAAATAACTACTAGTCGATATTTGCCAAGAAAAAGCCTTTTGGACACAGCTTCTTTAAATGGCTACAGAGCACTATAAAATGTTAACACGGACTTGTCCTTTTCATTATCAATGTAAACGGCCATCTCTTCAGCTCTTAAACATCTTGAAGTTTCCTTTTCAGTGTTATGTTTTGGAAGGAATGGGCAGGGCAGCACAGTGGTGCAGTAATTAGCATTACTGGATTCGGTACCAGACCCGGGGTGCTATTTGCATGGGGTTTGTGTTTGCGAGAGCTTCCTGCTACAGTCCAGACGTACCGGTAGGCTAACTGGCTCATGGGAAAACTGGTCCTGGTGTGAGTGTGTGTTTGTGTCAGTTTGTACCCCGCAATGAACTGGAATCCCATCCAGGTTGTACCCTGCTTTGCGACTCTTGCTCGCTGGGCTAATCTCCAGCTCCGTATTGGATGAAGCGTTTAGGAAATGGATCGATGGATTTTGCACGATTTCAAAATGAAATTCTTGAAAAGGTTCCAGATGAGTATCTTACTGTATTATATTGAATTTTCTACGCACTGATGCCATTTTGTTTTATTTTGCCTGAAAGGGTTTCTCAAATGAAATACAGCAGCTTGTTTACAGCTACAATTGCACCAAGCACATCCGATCTCACAGGTGCCCTTGTTGAGTGCAATCAGTCCTTATCTAATTTATGGTAACTCCTAAATAACATATTGTGTTAATACTTCTGAACAGTTTGCTTATAGGGAAAAGCAGGATTTGCAGTACAGTATTTTACTTCATCCTAAAAACATAACTAGAAGCATCAAAAACTTTCAGTGTAGCACTGACTGCAGATACACAGCTGTTGGCTTCGATTTTTTTTTTAGGTGTTTTAGTGACCCTACACAAAATTGAAAAAGTGTTTGCAAGCCTGATGTGGTTTGCTTTGCAGTAGGGATTGAAAGCACAGGGAGAGAATAGATCTGGATGCCCACATGTGATCAGGCCCAGGTGCTTTTGGAACCTCTGCCCCTGATGGTGACCTTTGTTTCTGTCCTTATTACTGTTTAAACCAATCCTCTCAAGAAGCAAAATCAGATTGTTACAGTACTATTAGTAAATCCACATGCCTCCAGGAAACTGTTATTCTAAACATCAGCTACTTTGTACATACAGTAATATCTTTTTTTGTTACTTTCAGCTGTGAGTCATCCGGGGGCTTACCATGATTGGAGACAGAGGCAAATCGTCATTTTTGGTGTATTTTGTTTTGGTAATGTATATACCTACTGCACATTGAAAGCATAAGTATACCAGCATTTTGTAATAAAGGCTAATGATTAAATATTTTAATCGATTAAGAAGGATGTTCTTTTTCTAATGTTAAATATCTGTAGGTCTCCAGCATTACTGGGAAAATACGCTCCTGGGAATGTGAAAATTGGAGGAACTCTCAAGGTACATTCTCCTACATTGCTAATTAATTCAGTTACTTTATCAAGAACCTACTTGTGCCAAATAGCTGTGCTTTAACAGAGCGGAAAATCCAGTTTCGACTAACTCTGGAAGAAAGTATTCGTTTAAAAAGTAATTAAACTTGAAATTAGATGGGAACTACAGTCCCAAGTTCTCTGACCATTGTTAAATCTAGGTAACAAAATTAATTCGTCGATGGTATTAGAACATTTTACAAATTCCAAATTAGGCCTAAAACCGTGACCTTCGTGAAAGTACTGGATGGCCGCCATGTTACCTGGCCAAACCAAAGGGCGAGGGCGAGAATTCCCAAGATATGTGACATGATATGAAGCAACCCTTCCTGCTCACTAGTCACTGTAAAGACTAATATAATGCGAAATAAGAGCGCATTAGTACAGGTGGTGCAGCAGACATTACACCACAGAAATGTTCCAACATCATCTGCATCCAGAGTTAACAATGTATTTGTCAGCAACCATCTCAAAATCGAGAGCAATATTTCTGTTGGAGTAAAAGAGATGTCTTCACAAGTCTGCTTGTTTTCAGTGTCATAGGGCCACTTTACATCACTGGAAGTTTGATGCCTCATTCTGAATCGCAGAATACGGCATGGTGCAGACCTGGAAATTGGGTTTATTCTGTGATATTAATTGGAAGTTTTACATGTTACTCTGTACATTTTCCTGTTATTATTGTTTGGAATGCACTCATTAATGCTGGTTCTTTTTAACATTAAAATATAAAATGCGCACGACAGTGCTGCTATGATGCCTCTTAACTCTGATCTCTTTCAGTTTTCGGTTCCTCTGAGTGCTTCTACGAGACGCCTGAAGATGTTTTCCAGTTTGTAAATATTTCAATGGACTTTTGGCAAGCAAACGGATTCTGTCAGCATCACTTCAGCAAGCTCCTTTCTGATGAAATGGACAGTGATGTGGAATACACATCGAAACTTCTTCAGGCTGCCCAAATGAAACATCCTATCTGGATCGTGGATGTGTACCATTACAACTGGAGATTCCCACCCTTCTTGGGAAAGTGTGAGTTTTGCAGAGCAGAACTTTGCCCTTTTTACAGACTCGGAATCATACCAACAGTCTCCAATCCTTGCTCCTAGTTGTATTGATGTTACTTTGATTGTTATGATGACAAATCATATTAATATTCATATTAATATTCACTAATGAAGCAAATCTTAATATTCTGATGTACAGGGATAAAGGCTACACCCTAGAGTTTACTAGAAATAGGATTGGGGAGCCACCTTTGATGATGTAATTGATGATGTTTGGAAATTGATGGACATTTTGTTATGCGCTACATTTGGAAATTTGGATATTAGATGGATTTGTTATGTTATCCTACAGAGGATGAACATTTGCAGTAGTACTCCAGATGCAGTATTTTCTTAATGAAATGTTTGCATGGTTTTTGAAGAGCACATTAAAGGCTATCCTATAAACTACAGGACTTGAGTGCCATCAAAATCTCAAAATGCAACATGTTATACAGGCTGAGAGTTATATTGCTGTTTACCATGCAACACATGCAGCATGTATTTTAACCCCGGCGTCCTGGCCAAATTTCCCATCAGCCTTTATCAATCATGGCCTCCTAACAATCCCCCTCTATGAACTGGCTTCATTACTCTCCTCTCCTCCCCACTGATAGCTGGTGTATGGGGAGCGTTCTGGCGCACTATGGCTGCCGTCGCATCATCCAGGTGGATGCTGCACATTGGTGGTGGTGGAGGGGAGTCCCCATTACCTGTAAAGCGCTTTGAGTGGAGTGTCCAGAAAAGTGCTATATAAGTGTAAACAATGATTATTATTATTATTAATTAATTGAACTGTGTTTTAAGGTGGCTTACCAGCTGTTGTGTGCTTGATTCTCTTTCCCAGATGTTTCAATACCAGCCTTGAATTTCAAGGAGGAGTCCCATGCCATGTACGCCAGAGTGGACATTGAGTTTCCCCCATTGCCAGCGGTCACTGTGTGCGCCCGGGTGCAGTGGCACAGTGCCAACAGCCAGGTGTCCACTGTCTTCTCTTACGCAGCTCTTCAGCTAACCAATGAGTTTCAGCTGCGGGGTCAGCAGGACAAGGATGGAAACATAATCCTGGCCTTGATTGTGCACGGAAACCACAAGCCTTACAAGGCCTCCTTTAGAAACGACGGGAAATGGCACCATCTTTGTGTTACCTGGCAAAAGTACAATGGAAATTGGGCTATCCATGTGGATGGGAAAAGGCGAGACTCGGGGAATGGGACTGAGACCTCCCGAAATATTTATGGAAGTGGGATTTTCATCATTGGGCATGATCAAGACTCCTTCGGAGGAAACTTTACAGAGCCCTTTGTTGGGAATATCACAGCCTTAGGTATATGGAATAAAACGTTGGACGAGCATCAGATCAATGATCTCAGCGTCTGTTCGCACATTTCGGGAGACCTCATGTTCATGTGGAATTTGAGCCAGATGACCGTCAAGCCGGCTCCTCAGCTGTCCCTGACCAAGCTCTGGTGTGAACGTAAGTTTTTCTTCATTCTTCTTTTTTATTGAACATTGAATGGAGCTCACTGCTTGATTCTGCTTTCCACCTCTATTTATTCCAAGGATCTAATTTGATTCGGGGGTTTTATTACAGCTTTAAATTAAAGTTCAGGATCTGATCTCGCTCACCTCCGCCTATCTACCTATATAAAAACACGTTTCTATCATGCCCAGTTTTACTTTTCGTTTCATATCCATCCCTCAGTTCCATCTTCGATGTCCATGACTCAGCCCTTTTAAAGGAGACAAACTGTGTCCTCCTTAGTCAGGTGAGCTGAGCCCCCAAACCCGAACTAATTCAAATCACACCTCTACTGTGCCTTACATTAGGGTTTGGCCAAACTACTGAATTGTCTAGAATCGTGCTTATACAGTATCTGTTCCGTCTGTCCTTGAACAGGTTCAGAATTGTTGTTTCCACACTTTTACTAACAACTCTTACACTACTCTTACTAATGATATACAGGCAGAGGTGGAAAAGACACTGTTGGACACTCTCACAATAACTTCTTTATGCT